GTCCCTCTGGGATCACAGAGGCCAGCGAGCCCCCTGCAGGAAAACGCGGGGGGCTGGGGGAGCACAAGGTGTGGCGTGGGGGTGGGGCACAGCAGGCACCATGAGCTCTGACCCGAGGGCTTCCTTTGAGGCCCCCGCGTGGTCCGGCCCTGATCCCAGTCATCCAGGTGAGCGCTGGCCCTCCCGCCCTGTGGCCTGGCGTCTCCAGGCCAATGGGGGACAGATGAGGCTTCCACTTTATTTTTGAGTGGGGGTCTCACTCTGCGGCCCAGGCTGCAGTGCAGTGGCATGGTCACAGCCCACTGCAGCCTCCAACTTCCGGGCCCAAGCTCGATTCTCCCGAGTAGCTGGGACTACAGGCATGTGCCGCCACATCTGGCTAATGTTTTGTAGACACAGGGTCTCACTGTGCTGTCTAGGCTGGTCCTGAGCTCCTGGCCTCGACTGATTCCCCCTTCTCAGCCTCCCAAGTGCTGGGATTACAGGCGTGAGCCACCATGCCTGTCCTCAGTGGAGGTTCTGAGCCCACCACCCCCGGTTCCCCCGAGAGCCCACAACTAAGGGACCCGCCTGTCACGTGGGCATGCCCTGGACGCACAGAGATCTCACCTTTGCTCCCACCATGCGTACACACACACACACGCCCGGTCACATCCAGCCGCCAGAGAACCCAATGGACCACCCCCATCCTCTGAGTGATCCCCATGGGACAGGGGGGCAGGGCCAATAGGGGACGGGTGCTTGAACAGAGACAGGGTGGCAGAACGGAGAAACCGAGGATGAGGACGACCGGGACGGAAGGAAGTGGGACGGAGACACAGGAACTAACTTTCAAAGTGAAGCCCTGGCTCCCTGAGGGGGCTGCTGAGGCCTGAATCTGCAAACAGCAAACAATAAGTAAATGAGCAGGCGGGGGACCGGCGCCCGCCCCCCCCACCCCCTCGCCAGACAGCGGAGGCAGAGCCGATCAGACAAGGGACACGGGGCCGCCAGCCCGGCCTGAGACCTGGCAGCGGCCACTGACCGTGCATTCCCTGGCTGGATGCCAGCCGGCCCTGGCCTTCGGCGTGAGCCCAAAGATTCAGGCTCTTCCGTCCTCCTGTGCCACCCCGACCCTCGCCAGTCCCATCCCTGGCCAGGTCCCCTGTCGACGCCAGCAGGGGGTCTCAGGGAAGGAGGACACAGGACCGTGAGGGAGAACTGGGGCAGGGAAAGGACACATGGCCCCTGTCACGAGCTTCAAGGAGGGCAGTGGCCATCAGTTAAATACACACGTTAAAGGTCCGTACTCGGATGGAGACAACTGACACGAGCCAGTCCAGAGGCAGAAAGATACGGAGCATGTCAGGTATGAGTTACGAGACTGCGGGGAGCCCTGCAGGAGACTGCAGCCATCAGTTAAACACACGTCTAAAACACGCATTTGGCTTGTCATCCCAGCACTTGGGGAGGCCGAGGTGAGAGGACGGCCTGAGCCCACGGGTTTGAGACCAGCCTGGGCAAGGTGGCGAGACCTCGTCTGTCCAATAAGTCAAAACATCAGCCGGGTGTGGTGGCGCGTGCCTGTAATTCCGGCTACGTGGAAGGCTGAGGCGGAAGGATCGCCGGAGACCAAGAGGTCGAGGGTGAGGTGGTTATGAGCGTGCCACTGCACTCCAGCCGGGACAAGAGTGACACTCCGACTCAAAAAACCCAAAAAACCAAAAACCAAGAAACAAAACCCACCCGTTTGAATGAGAACCAAGGTGACACGTGGCAGTCCGGAGGTAAGGGAGAGAATGCGCGAGAGGTGACACAGGAACCCCCTCGTGAGGACGGCAGCCATCAGTTAAATACAAATGGTCAGCATCCTCACTCGGGGGAAAACAGAAGTGACATGAGCTAGCCCCGAGACAGAGAAAAGGGTGCGTCAGGAAAGGCCCGCGAGGCCACGCAAGTGCCCTCCGGGAGGACACAGGCATCACCTAGATACCGTTACTTGGAAAGAGAGTTGACGTGAGACGGGAGGGCCCGGTTGCAGGCGCGGGGGCAGACGTCACCACGCTGCGGGCCCATGGGAGGACAGGAGCCGTCAGGAGAGCGGAACGCTCCTTATTGGGCCTGAAGTGGTCGGCACGAGCCCATCGAGGGCGGCACGGGGAGCCTGTGAGTCGTCACACGTGGAGACAGCCCAGGACAAGGCCTTGGCTTGGTGGCCGCTGGGAAGGGCAGGGGACGCTGGGTGGACGGCAGGGCACGGGGCGGGGGGCATGTCCCCAGGGGTGTGGCCCAGGGCTGAGGACAAGCTCAGCTCCCACGCCAAGGGGCCTTGCGACAGGAGACGAACACGCAAGCTCTTTCTGCCACAAGAGTGGAGGGTTTAGGCTTCCTTGGTTTTAGACACGGCAAGTCCTCTTCACACGAGCCTCCGGGTTGTGAACTTTCAAAGACTCAGCCGTACATTCGCATGTCCAGTCACGTGAGTGAGTTCGTGTATGCTGCCACACGCGCACGTCCTAGTCTGCAGGGGATTATGTGTTTGTGGACTTTACTGCACAGGATTTGTACACAGGACAACGGCCCAGGGTCTTTAGTTGAAGGCCAGGATGTCCGGAAGCCACAAAAGAGCAGCAGCAATATCGCTGCTGCTGTCTAGCTGGCTGGGTCGGCTGGGGGCCAAGGTTAACTTTTTGGACTCTCAGACAAACTGGACTTACGAACGCACCCTCAGAATGGAACTCATTCACATGTAGGGGACTGACTGTACCCTTTAGGCTCCTGGAGAGGACAGCAGCCATCAGTTAAATGGAGAGGACGGCGGCCATCCAGTAAACGTCCCTTTAGAAAAGCTTCCTTCAGTTGTAAGCAGAGGCAACCCAGGAAGAGTTCTGAACCCAGATCCGTGCAGGGTGGGAGGTACTTGGGAACGGGGGATTTAACTGCACCAAGCACAGCTCAGAGGGGCGGATGAGGGACCCTCCAGTGGCAGCGTCCTTTCCCCCCAGCCACCTCCCAGCCCGGGCACACACCTGGCGTCTGGAAGTTGATGCGCCTCATCTCCACAGGGTCCTTGGGGTGGTGGGGGGCGAGGTCGGCATTGTTCAGGAGGCATTTGGTGCGGGGCTCGGAGTCCTTGCGTTTGCTTTACGGGAGGCAAGCGGGGTGCCCGCTGAGCGCCAGCAGGGCCCCGAGACGGAGGTGCGCGCACGAGAAAGCGCCCCGGCCCAGGCCCGGGCGGGAGAGGGCCATGTGTGTGCACGTGTGGGGCCCCTGGGGCGGCGCACAGGCTGCCGGAGCGCAGCCAGGCGTCCCCCGCCCCAGGCATGGCCACCCCGCCCCTCTTCCCCATCCCCCGCATGGGCCGCCGGAGGGGGGGCTGGTTCTCACCTGTCGGGTTTGCTGCTCCCAGAAGCGGACACGGGGGAGAAGGGGAGAAGAGGTAGCACGTGAGGGTGTGCGGGCCCTGACGGGTCGCCGGAACCCCGAGCGGCCTCCTCTCGTTCCCTCCTTTTGGAAACAGGATCTCGCGCTGTCGCCCAGGATGGAGAGTAGCGGCTCGAGCGCGGCTCACCACAGCCTTGACCTCCCGGGCTCAAGCAACCCGCCTGCCTCAGCCTCCCGAGTAGCGGGGACCGCAGGCAATGCCACACCAGCTCATTTTTAAAGGCTTTGGGAGATGGGGGTCTCGTGATGTGGCCCCGGCTGGTGGTCTCCGCCCTCCAGCGATCCTCCGGTCCTGGCCTCCCAAAGTGCTGGGCTTGCAGGCGTGAGCCGTCGCGCTTAGCCCCGAGTGGCTTGTTAGCTGCTCAGCCCTCCCTCTCTGAGCTGGGAACATGCCGTGGCCACGGGACGGGACACAGGCAGCCTCGACCCTGCTCTTCCTGCTGAGCTGAGAGTGGGGGCCGAGAGGGAGGAGAAGCCAGGCAGGGCCGGCCTGGAGCTCAGCCCTGCCATCTTCAGGCGGTGTGGCCTGGACCAAGCGGTCAACCCCTCTCAGCCTCAGTTTCCCCATCTGCAGCACAGAGGCCCTCAGTGATGCTCCTCTGAGACGACGCTCGCCCAGACCTTTCCGGTCGCCCCCCTCCGGGATGCCCTCCTGCCTGGCGAGGGGGGAGCAGGGGGCTCACTTCTTGTAGAGCAGGATGGCGATGACGATGCAGATGATGAAGACCACGGCCAGCACGGGCCCGATCACCCAGATGAGCCCCTCCTCGCCGTCCACGATGGGCTGGGGGTCTGGGTTGTCCAGCTGGAAGGGGTCTGAGAAGGGGCTGGCTGCGAAAGTCTGAGGAACGGGGGCATCCGTCAGTGCCGCCCCGGCTGGGGCCAGCTGGGGCTTTCCCGATACAAACCCAAGCTCCTCCCTGGAGCTTTGACCCTGGCGCCGGTTCGGCCCAGCCCCCGTGGGCTCCTCCCCTTCCCTCCGCTGTTCCAGCCGCTCCGAAATCCCCTCTGCTCCTCTTATGCCTCCAGACCCTGACATGTACAAATCCTGGGATGCTGTCTTCCTTGCTGAACTCCTACACTCATCTCTCAAAGCCCCAGCTCCAAAGTCCTCTGCTAAGAAGCCTCCCTTTCAGGACTCCCCAGCTCTGACTCCAGGCATCTGGTAGGAACCGCGGCAGGGCTGAGGCTCTTTGGGGTCCGCCTTGTTCAAGGTTGGGCTGGTGGAGGGCAGACGCCGCTCAAGACTTACGGGCTCACTCTTCTGCAGCACAGCGAGCACAAAGAGGACGTAGCGGTGGCCGGGCTCCAGGCCCCGGTTGTCGAAGCCGCCGTACTGCTTCTGGTCCCCGGGGCGGAAAGCGGGTGGCAGCATCGAGAAGCGCGCCGCGATGTAGGGCCGCGGCACCTCCAGCTGGCGTGAGTGGCGCAGACTGCGTCTCTGCAGCCGCGAGATGTCCTGGATGAGCTGTGGAGACAGAGGCGTGGCTGGCTCAGACGCGGCTGGGACCCCGGGCGCACGGCCGGCCCCTGGCCCTCACCTCCTCCAGGTCCATGTCCTCTGGGCTGCCCAGCGGGGACAGAAACTGGCCGCCCCGTGATTTGCGCAGCGGCACCATCACGATGAAGTAGCTCCTGCGGGGAGACGGGGCGTGTCGGGGGGTGTCCGTGGGGTGCTGTGGGAGTCGTCTGTCTTCCCTTCTGTTCACACAGTGGCGTGTTCCCCTACATCCCAGCCTCAAAGAACGTTTCCGATTTGGGCCTACAGGCCTTTGCTCATGCAGTTCTAGGCCTTGAACGCTTATACACGTGCCAAAGCCCCAGCTTCCACGCCCAGGCTCTCCTCACAGGCCATGATCCCACTCTGCCTCTCAGGCAGAGTCCCTGCTTCCCTACTGGGGACTCCCAGCTGTGCCTCCCCACCCATCAGGAAGCTCAGAACCCAGAGAGAATCAGGCACCGGGGAACGTCAGGGTGTGGTGAGGGAGCAGCCATAAGGGTGCGCTTAGCGGGATGGCCCACGAGAAGCACCAAGCCTTCAGGACAACCCCACAAACAGGGCAGATGCGGTCCAGACAAGCAAGGAAACCGAGGCACAGAGAGGGCACATGGCTGGCCGCAGGAGCACAGCCGGCCCACAGGGTGGGGGGCGCGTACTGGACAGGCACGGGGCTCTGGCCGTCGGGCAGGTACACCACAATGAAGCCGTCAGCATCGGGTTTGGGTGCCAGGCTGGGCTTGCCGGTGAGCACATTGAAGGCCGTCCAGGCGGTGACCGTCTGCTGCAGGCCGCCCAGGCTGCTGCCGCGGTTGGTCAGCACGAAGTTGTAGAAAGTGTGCGGCTTCAAGCGCGTGATGAGCTTCTTGGTGGTGCGGCCGTCTACGTCCAGTGTGAGCCCGTTGTACTGGATCTGGGGGCCAAGCGGGCAGGAGCTCATACCACAGCCCCAAAGAGGCCCGGCCCCAGGGGCCCTGGCCCTGGCGGAGACCCAGCTCTCTGGTCCTGGTTCCTCACCCTGTTCTGATGGCTGGCCCTGGACGGAACCGGCATCCTGGGCTGAGTCTGATCCTGGCCGAGCCCCAACCTGGAGTCCCGGTCCTAACAGAGCCATGAACCCAGAAGCGCCTCGACCTGAGCTGTGCCCCGACCCAGGACTGAGCCCCAATTCTGGCTTCAGGGACTGACTCAGCCTCTACCCCAGGCTCACCCACTATCCAGACTAAGCCCTGAGTCCAATCTTGGCACCATTCACGCACAGAGCCCCAGTCCCAGACTGGGCCCCCACGCTGAGTCCCAGAGACTGCACAAAGCCTCGATCCCATGAACCATCTCAGACCGAACCCTGGTCTCAAACTCTGCACCGACCCCACTCTGAGCCTTGACTCCGGCCCGGGGTCCCACTCTCATTTACTCAGCCGCGACCTGACGCTGAGCCTCAATCCCGGGCGGAGCCCCCATCTGAGTGCCCACGCCAACTGAGCCTCCATCCCAGACCGAGCCTGACTCCCGGCTGAGCCCCAGTCCCAGGCCGAGCCCCAACTCTGCACCCCGACGTCAACGAAGCCTTGATCCCGGCCGAGCCCCGATCCCGGCCGAGCCCCGATCCCGGCCGAGCCCCGATCCTGGCTGGCTCCATCTCCCCACCCAGCCCTCCACTAGCGGCTGGTGGCACCTTGTAGGGCGTGGGTGAGTTGTAGTTATCCGGGAACTCCCAGCTCAGCAGGACGGCCGTCTTCATGATCATCTTCACCTTGAAGTTCTTGGGAGAGACTGCCCAGCGTGGCATGGGGAGGAGAGAAAGAGAAAGAAAGAAGGAGCAGTGAGCGCGGGTGGGCGGGCAGGGGCGGCCCAGGCGCTCCCTGCCATCCGCGGTGCCCGTGCCCGCGGCCTTCCTGCCTGGCCCTGGCCCGGCCCTGCCTGCCCTGCCCAGGTCCCTGCCGGGGAGACGGCGCGGCTGCGGAGAGAAGGCGGAGGCGGCGGCGCCACGCGGCGCGTCCCACCTGTGCCGGCCGGGGCCTCGGGTCCGGACTCGCCTGAGCATCCACGAGGAAGCAGAAAAGTGACCACTTACCTGGGCGGGGGGGAGGGGGTGGGGGGTCGGGCGCGGGGCCCGGTCCGTCTGGCGCGGGGTGGCCGCGTGCCTACCTTGGTCCCTCAGGAACGTCCGGTAGCGGACAGGGGGGCTGAAGGGGCCGGGGCCCCGGCGCGTGTGGGCTCGCACTTGGAGGTCATAGGCCGTGTCCGGCTTGAGGCCCCGCAGGGTGAGGACGTTTTCGGCGCCCGGCTCGGCCGCCGCAGCTAGCTCGGTCTCTCGGGCGGGTCCGGGGGCGCCAGCCTCGCGCACAGCCACCGTGTACTTGACAATGGCGCCATTGCGCTCGGCGGGCACAGGCGGCAGCCAGCGCAGCAGGACGGTGCCGGCCGAGGCGTTGCCCGCCGCCTCCAGGATCTGTGGGTGGCCACGTGGCGCATCTTCAGGCACGCTCAGGATGGCGGCCACCTCCTCGCCCAGCCCGCTGTGGCCGCGGGCCGCCAGCCGGAACACGTACGTGGCACCCTTGTGCACGCCCGTCGCCATATAGTGGTGATCAGAGGCTGGGAACTCCAGGGTGGCAGGGGGTGCAGCATCATCGCGGCCGAACTGCAGGCGGTAGCCCAGCACCTGGTCCTCTGCGGCGCTGGCCGGGGGCTCCCAGCGTGCCAGCAGGCTGCCCTCGGGGGTCTGCTGCACCGACAGAGTGGGGCGGCCCAGCACTGTAGGGACACGGTGTGTGTCAGAGTGGGCCTGGGGGGGGCACTTTCCATTTCAGAGTCGGGTCTGGCTCCGCGGCCCAGGCCAGGGTGCAGTGGCACGATTAGGGCTCATCTCTGACTCTGGACCCAAGCGATCCTCCTGCCTCGGCCTCCCAGGTGGCCGGGACTACAGGTGCACGCTACCCTGGCCTGGCTCTTTTTTTTTTTGGTAGAGATGGGTTTGCATTGCCCAGGCTGGTCTCAACCTCCTGGCCCCAAGCAATCATCTCCCTTTGGCCTCCCAGAGTGCTGGGATGACAGGCGTGAGCCACCATGCCCAGCCCTGTTGTGATTTTTAGAGGGAGGGCTTGGGATGGCCTTGCTGAGAAGCAAAGGCTTTCGAGAGCTAGGAGAGGGACCAGAGGGTCTAGGGGACTCATGTTCCAGGCAGAGAGAACAGCCTGTGCAAAAGTCCTGGGGCAGGAAGGTGCCTGGGCATACAAAGAGTAGAGGTGAAGAACTCTGAGAACTCAATAAAGGGACAGGTTTAGACAAGTCGCTGCAGGTGTCCCCTCACCTGACTGCCTCCTCTCTCAGTGAATAACTTAGTCCCTGTCCTGCTCATCTAGCCCTAGCCTGCTCCAGGCAGCTGAGTGATGCTCACAGGACATAAGAGTCCCTGCTCCACTCCATGGTTCCCACGGTCCCGGCGGCAATCGTGCCGAGAGAGGTTTAGAGCCAGGCAAGAGGCGGAGAGCTGGGCGCTACAAATGAAAGTTGACTTCATCACTGCAGAACTTGTCAGGACCTTTAAAGGCCGTGACTACTACCAGCACCGAGGCGTGGGTATGCGGTGGGTTCGGCTCAGCAAACGGCTCTGACACAAGGTCTCTGGGAGGAGAGGAAGCCTCTTGCTGGCTACGAGGAAGGGTGAGATCGAGGGGCGCTGCTTGGAGGGGTGACGTTGAAGCCGAACCCTGGAGCACGTGGGCCAGCAGGGGGAGGGACCAGCATGGGCAGGGGCGGTGCCCAGCTGGGAGGCCCCGAGCAGCGGCCACGTGGTCCAGGCTGCGGCCACAAGGGTCCCCGAGCAAGAACAGCAGCAGGGTGGGGGACGAGGCCACGGGGGCCTTTTTGAACCTGGGCCTCCCTGAGACTCTGCCAGGCTGGGCCTCTGCCCCCCACCCCATGGACGAAAACCAGCCCCTTGGGGCAGATGGGAGGGGCTGGAAAGGGAAACTGAGGCAGGACCACTAGGAGAAAAGGCTTTGCGGTGCTGCGGTGGAGAAGACAGGCACAGCACGCCCAAATGACATCCTCCCAGGGTGGCCAGAGCCCCAGTGGAGGGCCCAGAGGGGCCACCTGACCGAGACGGTGTGATGGGGCAGTCAGGGAAGGCTTCCTGGGAGAGGCACCGAGGGGATCAAGACCGACAGGTGGGGGGGTGGCCATTTGGAAAAAGGGTATCCTGGCAGAGGGCATGGTGGGTGAAGGCTGGGAAGGGTGGGGACAGCCGTGGGAGCCCCAGCAGGGCACCCCCGAGTGCCCTCCCCGGCCCGCCTCCTCAGGCTGCGGAAGCCGTGCAGGCTGCACACGGGTCCCACCTGCTCCCTTGGTCACGACCACCTTGGGTTTGCTGCGGGCACCGTCGCCCTTCATGGTGTAGGCGGCCACCGTGATGGAGTAGGCGGTCTCGGGCAGCAGGTTCGCGATGACCATCTCCTGCGGGTGCAGGTGGGGCTGGGGTCAGCCCAAGCCTGGCCCTGCCGGCCACGCCCACCCTCCTCCCC